GCTTGCCCGTCTAAAGCGACACAGACAGGTGTGAATCGAATAAAAAAGCAGTTGGTTGTTTTTCCTAGTGTGCCTCCTACACACAGCTCATCCTACTTCTGTCTAGGCTCTCACAATGTGGGTTCATTTGCTGAACAGTTGGGATAAGGCCTTGGAGCACTGTGCTCGGACTCAGAAAAAAGTTGAGCAACAGTACGTCGCTAAAGTTTTGGGGAAAAATCTGAAGGTGAAACAGGAAGAAACCAACCTGTACGAGACATACACAATGCTTGTTGACGTCTGCCTCAATCCCCTTGAACCCATCGCACTTGGCATTGTTCTATCCAATGGTATCTACGATGCAGGTGATAATACATCAGTTTCACACTTGAAAACGATTTATTTGTTGCTTAAATCGCATGAGTATTTGAACTGGCCATTTTTATTTATCCTTTCCAGAGTCCTCTAATTCTGGCCAGAGTGAGCTTGATTTGCGTTTCCAGCCGCGAATGGATCTCGCTCTTGCCGTTATGCGCCAGTTTAGTGAGTTGATTGATGTCACCAAGGTTCTCCACATAATTCCCGACGAAACAAATCTTAAATCACTTTCCTCCTTCCTTGAGGTTAGTTTTCTGACAAATGGAAGAACAGATGATTATCTCCGCTACATGAATGACGGAAGTCTTTTCGGTCTTGTAGTCGGCTCTCAGGCATCAGGCAAGTCTGTGGACGCGTCTGGTGTTTTTTACGAACGCAGTGCACCGAGAAAGTGTGCAATCGCACAGCGCCTGCGTTGCGACCACTGCTGCTCAAATGTTCAAGGTGACCACATTGAGTCGGTGTCGCCAGTGTGGACGGCGAATCGGTAATGCTGCCTTTGTGCGTTACCCGGACTCCGGTGACCTTGTGCACTATGGGTGCTGTCGCGAACTCCCTGTAGATTCTGACTCTCCTACGTTGCAACATTAGATGTGCACCATGCCTTCCATAATTCCTTTACCAATATGGAGTGCCACATGAATGGATTATGATTCCATCTTGCCTTTCGCAAATGTTGTAAATCTAACATTTTCAAATTCTATAAGGAGGTTTTTTAGCGATGTTCTAAGCTATCTCATGGCAGCGAGATTTGGGGAAATGGGGCGAATTTACAGGTTTATGTGGGAATAGCAGGAAGTACCTTAAGCCGTGGTCAAATTG